GCATTGAAATCCAGTAATTGGACAACTGTTGTTCGTGATAAGTTAGATTCTCCACACAAAAAAATGAGACTTGGAAGTTGGTTGAGCTGCCCGAAGGAAGGACAGTAGTTGGCTGCAAGTGGTTGCTTAAGCTAAAGAAGAATCCAGATGGAACAGTGCATCGTTATAAAGCCCGATTAGTGGCTAAGGGATATTTGCAGGTATAGGACTTTCATGACACTTTTAGTCTTATGTTTAAGTTTCCTACTTTAAATATAATTTTTCCATGGTTGTAACAAATAAATGGGTGTTACGACAGACCGGTGTAAATAATGTATTTCTCAATCGCGAACTTTACGAGGATGTGTACATGCGACAGCCGTCTGAGTTCGAAGAGAGCACATCTAACGGAGCCATGCTTGTATGTAAGCTTCAAAAAGCTCTTTATGGGTTACGACTAGCTCAACATATTGGCATACGAAGATAAAAGACAGTCTAGTTCGAATCGGGTTTCACGAATCTAAGGCAGATTGCTTGCTTTTTATCAAAGTTAAGGAAGGTGAGTACACGTATGTGCTTGTGTACGTTGATGATATCATTGTCACCGGACAATATCGTGATATGATAGAGAATGTTATAAAACAGCTGCATGATGAGTTTTATATAAAAGATCTTGGTGAGCTTCAATACTTTCTAGGTATTGAAGTCAAGTGAGCTAGTGAGTCACTTGTGCTTAGCCAAAGAAAGTTCATACTGGAACTACTACACAAGACAAAGATGGATGGGGCAGCACCTACTTCTACTCCCATAATAGTATCTTCAAAGTTGGCTCAAGGTACATGAAATTTGTTAATTGATGCTTGAGAGTTTCGAAGCATAGTTGGAGCCTTGCTTTATGTGTGTCATACAAGACCCGATATCGCTTACAGTGTTAGAAAAGTTGCACAGTTTATGCATGCTCCATGCGATGTGCACCTTCTTGCTGTCAAGGGAATATTGTGTTATCTAGCTGGTACCTTAGATCATGGACTGGTCTTTGCTCCAGCAGCCTCAGGGTTAACCGTTACAGATTTCGCTGATGCCGATTGAGGGGTAGCTTAGATGATTAAAGATTGATGACTGGACATTGTGTGTTTGTTGGTAACTCCTTGGTTTCATGGTCATCAAAGAAGCAAAAGTCAGTTTCTAGGTGGACTATGGAAGCTGAATACAAGAGTCTTGCTGATGTTGATGCAGAAGTAACCTGGATTGCTACTTTGTTGACTGAGTTGGGTGTAAAACAGCGTTTGCAACCTACTATTTGGTGTGATAACACTGGAGCGATTGCTCTTAGTGCTAATCCAATGTACCATACGCAGTCTAAACATGTTGATTTGGACGTCCATTTTGTCCGAGAAAAAGTTAATGCGGGCAAATTTCAGGTCTGCTATGGCCCTGCTTGTCACCAAGTAGTAGATGGTTTGACCAAACCATTGTCAAAAGCTGCCTTTGAAGTGTTTAGAAAAAAAGTTCAAGCTCAACTCGTTGAAGAAGGAAAAAGCAGGGGACTGTTGAAAACATTTGAAGTCAGGAGTTAAAATTGCACGTGTTTACTTCTGGTTGTTCAAAGCCAGTAAAGTTGTTAGGCTTGCAGTTGAGTTGTTAGAGCTAACTACCTAGGCCAATGTGTTGCATAAATAGGAGCCAAGGGTTACTGTAAAAAGTACTTCTTGTGAATAAAGAAATCCTGATGTATTCTTCTTCTTCTTTTATTTGTTTCATGAAATCGTCGAGGTTTTTCATTAATATACGATGATGAATCTTTCAACCTAATTTACTTAAAATATGTAATGTTTTAAATATTATTTTTAATAATTTAATATAATTTATGATTTTTTAAGATGATAAAACCTAGAATCTTCATAGGAAGAGTGTAATCTGACTACTATGCTAAGAGAAAAGTATTTATTTTTGACAAAAGATAATATTTAGATTCAATTATTATTAGAATTAATTTATTCATTTTATGGAAGTATATTAATTATTATTATAATGATTTAATTAATTTTTCTATGATTTTTTTTATATTTCGTTGAAAAAATATATAAAAATAATTAGGTTGATTTTAAAATATAAACATATAAATATTAAGATTTAAACCTAGATTAATACCAGGAATCCTTAATTTATTTTTCTAAAAGTTATAATGTTTTATCTTAATACCAAAATAAATAAACAAACTATGTCTCAAAAAACGTTTTAAAATCTAAATAATTCTTTGTTAAAAGATATAATGTTTTAAATATTATTTTTAATATAATTTATGATTTTTAAGATGATCAAACCTAGAATAGGAAAGTATTTATTTTTGACAAAAAATAATATTTAGATTAAACTATTATTAGAATTAATTTATTCATTTTATGGAAATATATTAATTATTATTATAATGATTTAATTAAATTTTTTATGGTTTTTTTATATTTTGTAGAAGAAACATATAAAAATAATTAGGTTGATTTTAAAATATAAACATATAAATATTAAGATTTAAACATAGACTAATACCATGTATCCTTAATTTATTTTTCTAAAAGTTATAATGTTTTAGCTTAATATCAAAATAAGTAAACGAATTATGTCTCGAAAAACGTTTTAGTATCTAAATAATTCTTTATTAAAAATAGATGTCTAACGTTTTCAATTACATTTTTATGTGTCTACCATTATATTTTTTAATAATAAAAATATTATTAAAAAACTGAATTTATTTATAAAAACCTTAAGTATATACTGAAATTATAAAAAAAATTCATAGTGGTCGGAGATGACCGACGACGGTTGGAAATGAAGGTTGAAATGGAACACGACCACTCGGTTTTTTATCGAAATTACATGGTGGCTCAAATGGTGGTGGTGATGTGGCTTATGGATGTCACCATCAACCAGAATCGACGAAGAATAACGAAAATGGCTTAAAATCTAATAAACTTTGAACGCTTCTCCACGAAAAAACAGTGGCAGATTACGATGAAAAATCAATGGAGATTTGATCGGGGGTCGACACCTGTGCTGATGATAATAGCGGTGACGATCATAGTTGACCGACGACTATGGAAGAGGGAAAGAGGACATAGGATAGAGGAGGGGAGGGGGAGGGAAGCACAAGTTGTTCCTGTTTGGTGCTTTTTTAATAAAAAAATATTTTATTTTTTTTTGAATAAATTCTCAAAATTACCAGAACATAACATGTGTCACTTAAAGAAGATTTTTAATAGCGGTTAACATCCGGGCACCTAAAAATGTAACGTTAGAAACATTAGGGGCTTGTTTTTAGCAAAAAGTTTTGTAGACACTCAAACGTTTTTCGAGACATAATTTAGACACTTATTTTTGTATTAAGCCAAATGTTTTTAATAATCTTAAATGATTATAAGGAGTATATGTTTAATTTTTTTAATTAATTAGCAACACGCACGCACACTCTACAGACGTAATCACTCTAACTCGAGACCTTCAGGGAGATCAATATTTTCTTTTGCTATTAAGATCACTTGATGGGTTCAAAGTTATAATGTTTTTAAACTATTGTACTGATACATTTGTAATTATATGTTAATATTTTAATATTAATATACTATTGTATTTGGCTTTATCAATGAAATTTTATATTTCGGGTCATATAATTTTTGGCTCAATCCTATTTGTCGACTTAAAACTGTAAGACTGTTTAGGAAGTGAAAATCATAACTTTTTGTAAGGTGGAATGATGCATCAGATATCAACCAATCCCTTCACACAATTAAGTGAGGATAAAAGGAAGGGGCATTGCGTTATCTGCATGAACATGAATGGAAAGGGACGAAATGGCATGAATATCAGGTCATTATAAAAGTAGATAGGACGGTTGGGAAAAGTGCAAGAGATCATTCGAAGCAAACATGAAAAAGTTTACCCCTTGATTGTTATTGCTTGCATGATATCCGACTTTACCACTCTTTCACTTCTTTCTGAATATTAATGTTGTTTCCGGTTACCAATTTATGTCTTCTTCTTAAGACAACTGCTACTAATGTTCTCAACAGTAGTCTCGTGAGCTTGCTGGTGGGGAATCCTTGCAAATTACAGGATCGAGAAGTGAGTCGTAAAAGGGGAAAAACAAACCATTTCGTGTCTTCTCTTGTAAATCTAACAAAGAAACTAACATATATAATCAAATCTGTCCAATCTAAATAAAAATTTAGATAAACTACGTATTTAATCACTCAATTATTCATGTGGTTCTGTTTTAGTCATTCAATTAGTTTTTTTTTCAAAATCATATAATGTTTTGATTTTATATTAATTATCCTCTGTTAAAAAATTAGCGATCATACTGGCATGTCACTATAAGATTTTTGTCATCTCATCATTGAAAAATTAAAAATATATTATTAATCATTCTGTTAATTAACAATAATAATAAAAATAACGTTAATATAATTTAAAATTGTTGAATAACTAAATAATTAGTTTATCTTAAAAATAAAAGGAATATAGGTAAAGTATAAGATGATGCAGATGTAGGTCCAGTCAGCTCCCCTAGAATCTGCAGATCGATAGTTTATTCGTTATTGAAAAAATATATAATTACAAGAGGTGGGTCCCAGTTCAATCCAAAAAAAAGTGTTTGTACGCCCGTGAGCCGTGACTCGAGATTCGTGACTGACCCATCTCATGCAAACATACGTAGGGACAAAATAAGCATTATTCAAGCAGAGTGGGATTCACGAGCCTAACAACTCATCCACTAATAAAATATTGCACCCCAAGTATACCACAAAGTTTCAACAGGAAATCTGTTGCTGGAGTTCGAGTGAGTTGGGAAAGAATTTGCTTTTCAAAATCTAAAGGTGGTCTAGCGCTGAAAAATATCAAAAGCTGAAATAGAGCTTGTATCATCTATCTCATACGGAAAATTCTGGCCGATAATGGATCCCTTTGGGTTGCTTGACTAAAGAGCTACGTCATCAAATACAATGAGCATGAAACAATTTTTAAAAATGAGGGCAGATGCAGTGCCATTTATTTCTAACACTTTTATGATTAAGGATATTTGGAATGATATTAGACCTAAAGGACAGAAAGCTACATGGCATAAGCTCATCTGGTTTCCCATGCATATACCGAAACATTCCTTAATTGTGTGGATGGCTTTACAAGACAGATTACCAACTAGAGACCGCCTGCAACGAATGGGAATTAGCATTGATTCAGTTTGCGTAATCTGTAACAGCTTGCAAGAGACAAGAAACCACCTATTTTCTAAGTGTTCTATAGCTGCTTGCTTATGGAATTCTATTTTGAACTTGAATGGAATGAATCCTACGAACTTAGCTTGGGAGGAAACAGTTGCTACAGCAATCAATTCATGGAAAGGGAAGTCTCTTCTCACCTTCATTTTGAAGATTGCTTGGTCTGCTTTTATTTATACTGTTTGGCAGGAAAGGAATCAGCGTATCTTCCAGAAACGGTCAAGATCTGCTGAAAATTTGCTTAATGAAATCATTGATGTTGTTCGGTTTAGTCTTAGGGGGAAAAACTTCAATAGACTTGATAGTACTAATCTTAACCTATGTAATGTTTGGGGCTTATAGTTATACCAATCATTGATTTTGTATAGTTGTGCATAGATTTCTTTTTGTATTGATTGATTGATTGGATTGTAGCAAAACTTTGCTATTTTAGATAACAAAACTCTTACTTATTCAAAAAAAAAAGTTTCAACCGGAAGGCTTACTTTCTCTCCTTTCCATATCGTCGGCATCGAAAACTTGTCATTTTGCTTCACTTCCCCTCCCCCCCTGCAATTTGGGTTCTTTTATGAATATTGATCCAACATCATTGCGCTTAGGGACAAATTTTGCGGCCAATTCTCTGCCTTCTTATTGGCCCACTCTCATCCCTACTAGGCTATTTTACTGTTTTATCAGATCCCAAATTGTTTAAAAATTTGAGAGCCTGCAAGGCTATTTCAGTAATTCTACCTGTAAATTGCATGTATAAAATCATCTTTGGGTACTCATTTCTAATGCACACCACTCGCTAAATATCTCTCTCCAAGCTGCAGTCGTAGCACCAAGGGCATGGACTTGGCTACCACACTCTTGTTCCTTGTTCTTCTCATTTCGTCCACCAAGGCTTTAGATCCTTGTGGTTCTCGGCCAGATAACTCGGACCTGTCGGTGATTCCAATCTACGGTAGATGCTCACCTTTTAACCCACCGAAAACAGAGTCATGGGTCAACACAATAATCAACATGGCCTCGAAAGACCCAGCAAGGGTCAAGTACAAGTCCAGCCTTGTGGCCCAAAAGACCACTAAGGTCCGATTGCTTCGGGTCAGCAAATCCTAAATATTGGCAACTATGTTGTTAAGGTCAAGCTTGGCACCCCGGGTCAGACCATGTTCATGGTGCTCGACACTAGTAATGATGTTGCATGGGTTCCATGCTCCGGCTGCACCGGTTGCTCGACCACCACTTTCTCACCAAATGCTTCTTCGAGTTATGGCTCGTTGGATTGCTCCTTGCCCCAATGCACCCAGGTCCGTGGACTCTCATGCCCGGCTACCGGGACAACGGCTTGCTCTTTTAGCCAATCCTACGGAGGAGATTCTTCTTTGTCTGCCAATTTGGTTCAAGATTCCTTAGCATTAGCCAATGATGTTGTTCCAAATTTTGTTTTTGGATGTATTAATACTCTCACAATCGGGGACCCATGTCACTACTCTCACAATCGGGGGCACTCTATTCGAGTGTGTTTTCGTACTGTTTACCCAGTTTCAAATCCGATTACTTTTCAGGTTCACTCAAACTCGGGCCAGTTGGTCAGCCCAACAATATTAAAACCACCCCGTTGTTGAAAAACCCGCACCGACCCTCAGTTTACTACGTTAACCTAACTGGGGTTAGTGTAGGCCGAGTTCATGTCCCCGTTACCCCAGAGTACCTAGCATTTAACCCGAATACCGGGGCAGGGACAATAATCGACTCGGGTACGGTTGTAACCCGATTCGTCCAACCCCTTTACGAGGCCGTCCGAAATGAGTTTGTGAAGCAAATGAAAGGCCCATTTTCAACAGTAGGAGTGTTCGAGACATGCTTCGTGGCATCAGCAGAAGTTGAGGCCCCATTAATAACGTTACATTTCCAAGGCTTGTCCATGAAACTGCCAATGGAGAACAGCTTCTTGCATACTAGTGCAGGGTCACGTGCTTGCTTGGCAATAGCACCGGTTCCAAACAATGTGAACGCCGCCATGAATGTAATAGCCAATTTGCAGCAGCAAAACCATAGGATTCTATTTGATGTCGCAAATTCTCGCTTGGGAATTGCTCGTGAAGCTTGCAACTAATTTCATATATCGTTGCTCTTTCTTTTCGTTTAGGCTCATATAACGGGAAAAATTTTGGATTTGATGTTTAATAAACAGGACAAAGAAACCCTGTTGTTTTGGTGACTATGTAATAATATCGTTTAAGTTTCGCTCTAACTGTCCTACTCCCATGTATGCTTTCCACCATTGGAATTTAATCTCAATAATTTATTCCTTTCTTTCCCAGTTTAAGCATACCTTCCTTGTGCAGATCATGAAACAACAATGGCAAGAATTCCAGACTAGGCTTGGATTGGATCAACAGATACTTTGATGTTAATAGATCTTATTTCCGACCAAGACAATGATCAAGGCCCAAAACACATGAAGCGAGCTATAAGCTTAAAATTCCTAGCAACGAAGACCGTGACGATTAAATGTCAATGAGATGAATATAATCACATATCTGTATTAATAGGTGAAGTGATTACTTATCTTCAACAAAATATCAACGAGATGAAGAAATGTAAGGTAAATAAAAGTTGACCAGCCCATGATAAGTTATTGGCAATCATTGCTTGGTTTTTCTGACAACAAAGTTCAGTCACCAAATTTCAAGTTATTCGGCTTAGTACATCTACGACATGCTAGTTGATATATGCATATGTACATCTTGGGTTTAAGTGTTAGCAGCCTCTCCTCTTGCTCTTACAATGGGCATCACCAGTCAAGTCTCCCACCAGCAATATCATCCATGGTAAACTTTCCTCGCGTTCTAAAGCACCATCATCAGCAGATCATATACACTACATTAAATAATTCGACTAGCAAGAGACTGACCTATCTGAACTGTAGGACGTCATTGACCTTCAGAGCATCCCGTCTTGCATATGGGTTTTATTGGCTGGATTCTAGTTATTGGGTAATGTCCAGTCCTCTGCCTTTTTATGGATTTTTAACAGATTTGATTGGTTCTGCTCCTCTGCCTTTATCCCCTTTTTTAACAGTTTTGATAGTTTCTGCTCCTTTGCCTTTATCTGAGGAGCTTGGAGCAGCTTGACTTGAACCACTGCCTTTCTCCATGCCAGCCGTTTCATTTTCAGTCTGGCTTCGAAGTTCCTTCATCAAGTTGTTGAGTCCATTTGTCAGTTTTGTAAGAGCTGAGCTTGAGGAATTGACTCTGAACGACTGTACTAGCTTTTATATAAAAATAAAAAACACTCTGAACAGATTCCAGCACAGCCAAGAGAAGTGAATTTAAGATAAAGCAAAGTTTCTCAAGAGACCAGATTAGGAAAATGCACCGACACATCAGTGGGATAATCTAACATTAGACCATTCATTGGAATTTTGCTTTACATGACTTTCAGGAGAACGGTATTTGTTAACTGGTTCCATTTTCATGCTAACAAATTAAACACTATAAATTCGACTAAGTAGGTATAGAGGTTCAGATTTCGAAGCAAATCAAGTGATATCATCGAAGTAAAACAACAGACTCAATGCCATTCTTAATCTAGGAAACTTTATGCTGCCTCAAATGTATGTGTGTTTACCTTTTCTTCAAGTTTAATTGGGGGAGATGCGGGTCCTTGAGATGGGTTAATTCCTGCTTCAAGAGCCATCCTCTTTTCTCTTGCCCTTTGAAGCTCTTCCTCTAATCTTGCAACCTATATAAGTACTTCCAGGAGCAGCAATCAAAACAGGGCCATTCACAAAATATTTGCACAGCACTTTGCGATGGAAAAAATAAATCCATTAGCTTTGTGCAACTAATTAATAATTAATAAATGCAAAAGAAAATATTAGATTCCATACATTACCAAATATATAGTTGTTCAATCTAGATGCATTTTCGTGCATCTACTCACTGCTGCTATATAATTAGGACTTGTTTTAGCTAAGCCATGTGAAAAACAATTGATCTTGAAGAGGAAAGAATGAAATGCAAAAACAGGTCTCTAACTAAAATTTAAAAATACTTTAGCAGAAAAGGTAGCCTTTAATATAGATAAAGATCTCCCGACAAACATACCTCTTTCTCAAGAGCTAGCCGTTGCTCATGCAATGTTCTCTTTCGTTTTTCCAAGTTGGCTTCAAGAATTGTATTACCTTCAATCTATATTAGAAAGATGACTTAATATGAAAATTTTCCAAAACATGTGATAAAAATAACTAGAAAGGGTGGGTAAAGCAGGACCTCTTCTGTGAGTCTCTTTTGCAAGTCTGATTTTTCAGACTCAAGTGACTCAACTGCAGCCCTAAATTTGAGTCAAAATCAGGTAATAAGTACAAAAGAAAATAGAGATATCATTAACAATATACAAAGGTCAGCTCTACATTATTTTTGTTTTTCCTCTTTTGACATCGGAAATTAGTTATGCAAAGGGTAGATTGCTTGCATGAGAGAAGATTTTAGAAGTATCTGGAACTTCTATGGGTCTGCATGAGTTATATAACCAGGAAATTTGCAGCTGAAATTTTTATACAATGATCATTTTTTTCTACAGATCATGGGAACATCACTTACTCTTCCTCACATGGAAGATCAGTGAAACCCATGGATACCGTCTTGCTTCCCTGTAAAAGCAAACACATAAATCAAATAATTAGTTGGTACAAGATTATTAACACATTGCATTTATAATTTAATTAATGCTAGGAAATACTCATAAGCTAACAGAAAAACTAACAAGGCCAAAAGCAGAACACGTCATGAATGTAGAAAACAAAAACTTACACTACTCCTTCCCCGAACAGTTGAATGCGTAACTTGGTGGCCAGGTCCATTTCCAACAACGGGGGGTTTTGTGGCGCTTGAGACTGGGGGTTTTGACAGCTCATTAGGCTTATTGGTCTCAGTTGCTGAACTAGAGCTCGAAGATTCAGAATCCTGCAATTTTATTTTTCAATTCATGCAAGTATAGTGTTTCCTCTTTTTATTAATGATTTATTTCTCTTTCACCCTTTTTAGGTTAAACATAAACAATAAACAAAAGACTTGTTAAGCTTCGTGTATTTTTTTCTCATTGAATTCAAAAATTATATTTTATCACTTTTATTTTTATTTAATTAAAATTAGATATCGTTATACCTTCAATGATTCTTAACATTGAATTTATAAAATTTAAAAAAGGTAAACTACACAAATGGTTACTATTGTCTGAATAAATTTTCATTTTTTCTACTAAAGTTTCAAAACTAACAATTTGGTCACTAAAACGTCAAATAAGTCTTTGAATATTGATTTTATATCTAATTTATCCTAAAAGCTTTCTAG